CGGTGCCGGGCATCCAGGAACAACTCACTACTGGCATCCGGCTCACTCTCCCTTGTCTCCTCCCCACTGGTCCAAGGCTCAGGTGCCTCCTAACCAGCCTCTCTATGCCCTGCTCGGAGTCGGAACCCTGTCCAGGGTCCTCCACATCCTCCAGAGCCGACTCATAGGGCCCCTCGCTGTCGGAGTCTGGTGGCAGCTCCAACGGCTCCTGCTGGGCCACAACACTTATCTTACCACAAAATAACTCTGGGCAGCGTATAATCATAACTTTATGATTTGTGCCTCAACCACTAGTGCAAAAAAAGAGGTTGATGAATTTAACGATCAAATGTAAGTTGACATTGAAACTACAATGCCAATGTTAGAAATATTCAAGGCATAAATGACCAGACTCAAATTATCATACTTTGGACACATTATACAAAGACCTAGTTCTGTGGAGAAGACTGTAATGCTGGGAAGGGTGGAAGGAAAGAATTAAGAGAATGACTAGCAGCATGATGGGTGGACTCGATTACAGTGGTGATAGGTGGATTGTTGTAAGGCTTAAAGGACCAGGTTGGGAACAGATCGTCCTGGAGAAGACTTGATGGCACATAATCAAGCAAACAAAATATCAGTCGGATTTGATAAAGTGATCTGTATTCCTTGTATGTGTCTTGTTAAGTGTTTCAACATTTAAGCAAACAAATAAAGCACTTACACATGTTTCCTGGTGCTGCAAATACTGGCCAAAATCATTGCTAATAAGTAGTTGGTGGATAAAATGCTATTTGTATTGATTTCTACAGGATGTACTAAAATTACAGAATGACAGGAGCTCTTATACGTTATTTTCTGTACTTTATGGTGAAAGACCATAGTGGCAGTTCAAAGTAGGGCACTAATTGAATGCAGTTTCTGCATTCTCTTCATCTGAAGGTCAGGCTGATTGACACACACTATGTTTTGCCTGTACTTAGCATTTTGAGTCCAGCAAAAAAGACAGTTATTCTAGTTATTCTAATATTTAGCTCCACCGTTGAACAGGATGTATGGTCGTTGGGTACAGTAATTCAGCTCTAGCAAGTGAATGTAATTTGTAACTGTTCAAGAAGCAATAATGGCTTGGGACCCGGTTATATGAGGAACCGTCTCTTGCTAGTCACATGTACCCAACCCACCAGAGTGGGGAGGCAGGTCCCATCCCCTAGGGAGATACACCTGGTAGGACCCAGAAGAAGAGCCTTCTCCGTGGTGGCTCCCTTTCTCTGGAACATCATTCCCTCAGAGATTAGAATGATCCCCACTCTAACTCTCTTCTGGAAGGCACTGAAGACCTGGTTCTGCCAGTGGGCCTGGGGAATGCAGAGCAGGATGGACCCCATTAAACAGCTTGTACGATGTGTTGTCACTGAGGTGGGGGGCTATTTTATTATATATGATTCTCTCTTTTATTAGTTTTATTGTTTTATATGATGTTTTTATATTCTTGTAAGCTGCCTTGAGTCGCCATGTGCGAATAGGCAGCAATATAAATATCCTAAATAAATAAAATAAAAATGGAATGTTGTGGCTAATGTTAGAATATCATTCAGGTCATGCAGCAAAAGAGATCGAATTGGTCCTTTAAAAATGTGTGATGTCTTTTGGCTTACAACTGCTACACAAAATCCATTGGCTGTGGGACAATATGTTAATAATTGTTCATCAGGTAAGACCAATTTTTCTCCTTTGGTTAGATTTAAAAATTGAAGTGGCTATGCATGTTGTCAGCCTGCCTAAATATTGTCAATGGTTTTCCATTTATAGTTTTCAAATAGAGGAGATTTATTCTACATCAGAGAATAGTCTGCTCATCTCCTGCAGGTGGGGTTAGATAGTAAAGGTATTGTTTATTTGAATAAATTCAGAGATAGGTTAACGTACAGGCATCTCTTCCTCATTTAAGATATTTCTCTTTTTCCATCAGAAAAAGAAGCAAATGTTTGCTATCAGGAACTGAACATACCTAAATGTTTTCCTGTAGAATTTAAGCAGTATCTTCCAAACATAAACTACAGCCATGAAATAGAAAGGTGAGAAATTTGTATTTTTGAACATTTCTGGAATAATTTAATAATTTAAAATGTTAAGCATTCTCAAATATTTGAAGGAGGATATATCAAGAAAAAATTGCTTGTGTTGTTAAAAATATCAATGCCCAATTGAGACCAACTTCTTTTCCTGAAATATTCAATCTGCAGGCCCTTGAGATGTGTGGTTTTGGTAGCTCTCCGAAACATTGGCCCAGGAGAAGAACTTTTTTCAAACTATTACACAATTATTTCTTGATCGTCAACGATGGATTTTTACAGTAATGAAACCAAATGTGGTATCCTTTAACAAAGAATTATTGAAGATACATTTTGGTACAAAAGTTTTGAAACTTAGGTCATGCATTCCACTGTATACTTAATAAGTCAACCTTGTTGGGTTTTTTAAATAGCGATAGCCTATCTGAAAGCTTTGGTTGAAATTTAAACTTTGTGGAGTAGTATGGGACATAACTTATTTGGGAAATGCTTGCTACATAAACACCAGTACAAGCAGAAGAGTTGAAATAAACGAGTTCTCCAGTGTACCTGGGTCCAGCATAGAGACTTCAAGTTGTTCATTGTCTCCCTCTGTTGTCTTTTATATGTATTGGATTTAACACACTCATATTTTGGATTTTGAATGGCTTTATCATTTCTTTTACTATTGTTAAAAGAATTTTGTCCTTTTAGTTAACTTGAAAAATATAAACCAAATGAGTGCTTATAGTATAGACTTGATATGTACTATATATGGTAACATACATGTCAGATTATTACTTTTTAATGAAAAATTATGCCTGATACTCAGATACAAAAATAACAAATCTATGTGCAGGCTTCACCCACAAGAAACAGTAACTCTCACTTCATCCATCCTCTAGACTTATATTTGCAGAAACTAATTATAGTTGAATCCTTATTCTCATCAACAGTTCTTGGAATTCTGTACAGAAAAGTTTTAGATGTGTAAATAAAAACTTTGCTTTCAAATAAATGAGTTTTGAAATCTATTTTGATACATTAAATCCAGTAAAAAGACATAGAAACAAACCTGTTAAAAGCAGATATTGTTTGTGTCCATTTGAAACTATATTTAAAGATGTGGAATTTAGGTAGATTTCTGAGAAATACTACATTAATACCTTCCTTGTAATGAATTAATACTGTTGATAGCTGTTGATATATCTATATTTTCTGTAGAATGTTTTTTTTGTTACAGAGTACTACCTATTGCACATTTACCAATTTCCATTGCAAATGCATCATTATAAAGATTATGATTTTGAAATTTCATAGCTCAAAAATAAATCACTTGGTGCATATATTTGTGAAATCCACTTCAATATTTTTAGACTGTAATCTTACTAATTTTTTTATGTTATTCCCATTAAAGTTAATGAAGTTTATCTCTTTGCTGATAACCAAGAATGCCCAATACATGTGTTCAGCTTTTTAAAAGTGTGTATATAATAGTATAAAGCAGGGATTTATTGTGTTTGGGGGTTCAGGTATATGATTACATTCTATTTATTTCAATAATATTCCTTTCATCACATTATAAATTACAATTCAAAGGACGCTTTTAGAGAATTTATAGACTATAGCTTATCAAACAAAGATATCCATGCCATGCAAAAAAAAAAAAGTGGAATATGTTTATGTGATGACTTCCCCAGATGCTTCCCAGATACTTCTCCAGATGTCAACTTGGAAGAGGATGAAAACCAGGCACGTCTGGAGAGAAATTGGTCAATGGTTCCAACCAGTTGTCTGAAAGGGATTTGGCTGAAGCACAGCTGCAGCAGGACAACCCGAGGCTTCATGTTGGGAAAGCATGTAGCTGCACCCAGCGAGTGATGAGGAAGAGGAACTGCCTTCTGCACTGATCCAAGAACATGTAGGGCAGAGAAAAGGCAGGAGCAGAGAAGGTCAGCCTAATTACTCATGAGGAAGCAGCCTTGCCCCTCTTGATGGGATGCACTACAAACTGGCTATTTAGTACAGTAGATAGATGGAGGCAATGTTGGGAATGTGTTTGTTTCCTTGGTGTGTGTTCTTGCTTTGCACCTCGGATCGTGTCTCTTCATCTGTTGGCCTTGCCTTTGCCTTGGACTGGACTTGCCTTGCCTTGAGGACTGGTGTTGGCTTCATTTGGGTAGCCTGTGGAACTCATAGGGGGTTAAGCTGGTGCCAGCACAGGGAATTGCTGAGGAATACAGTTCAGTCTTAGAAGCCTTAATAAAGACTCCTTACACCCATGGTGTGCGCGTGTATGAGTGGGACAACAGAGTTTACAATGGGTGCTATTCCCAGTGTTCTGAAATTTCATTATAGCAAATTAAACTTTGGACAGGTAGTGTTACAACACATTAGTAGTTATGAATGCTTTAATCCAGGGGTCTCCAACCTTGGCAACTTTAAGACTTGTGGACTTCAACTCCCAGAATTTCTCAGCAAAAAAAAAAAAAAAAAAAAAACCCATCCCAAAACCCAAAAAGTTATCAGACTGGTATCATTCTCAAGGACTATCATGTTTGTAACACTGTAAGAGTTTAACATGGTATGCCTAACTGCCATGGCATAGGATGGTCTTCTGTAAAATTTATAAAATGTGATATAAGTAGCATAATAGAACCATCTAGGTCAGTAAGGAATGTTCCTTTCTATATATAGCAATAGCAGTAGACTTATATACCGCTTCATAGGGCTTTCAGCCCTCTCTAAGCGGTTTACAGAGTCAGCATATTGCCCCCAACAATCTGGGTCCTCATTTTACCCACCTCGGAAGGATGGAAGGCTGAGTCAACCCTGAGCCCGTGAGATTTGAACTGCTGAACTGCTGATCTAGCAGTAGCCTGCAGTGCTGCATTTAACCACTGCGCCACATTGGCTCTTTATATGGAGATCCGTTGGAATATTGTTTTCAATTTCTTCTCGACAACAGGTCATATTGATCCTTTTTGCAAATGGCACATTCTTTTCCCCATATTCTTTTCCATAGTAATATAGATTTTGTCATTCAGTTTCCTTTTGTCAGTTGCAAATGGAGTAATTGATAACTCATTTTAAAAATCTTTGTCCAAACATACTAAAGGGACAAATAATGTTGCAGGACGAAAACTTTCATAGAAGAAAAAAAGGTTTCCAGACATTTATTTCTGGAACTGTACACCAGGTATTAAAGTACAACAAATACAAAATAATGTTCAAAAAAAATAAGTGTTTATGTACAAATATTAAAACCAATGCGACCATAGCAACTTCCTCTTAAGCAGCAGATATTAGCACTGGTTGCGATTGTCACTAATTTATGAGAAAGGCGAAGCTATTTGAACCTAGCAATGATGGACGTGACTGATTTCTTAGAGGTGGACTGCCGTAAACTAGCCTGAAGCAATAACTAGAATACTCCCCCCCCTTGGGAAATCGTAATCATGATTATTTGCACATTTAATTTCCCATTTATAGACACTGTGCTTGTAACACTGGGCGGTCTTCTAGTGGTTAGGCTATCCACTAATTTACATTCAAAGAGTTTGTTTCAATTAAATAGTATCACTAATGCACTACTGGATGTGAACTTAACATGGATCTGATTGTTTGTTTCCAAAGAAAAACTGCACAAAAACCTAACAGTACAGAGTTCAATACTTCAGAGAATATAAAGCAGTCTGTAGGTAAGATTGGCCTGTCTATATAAAGAAGAAAAATGAACACTTAAAAAGCTATCAATGAGAGGATGAAATGGCTAACAAAAGTTGAAGTATTGCTCTATTGCAGCACCAGTTCCACATACAAGTGAATCCAATGTTCTTTTGGAGTTCCTGTAAGCGATACCTCTACAAACTGCAGGTGCCCACCATGGATTTTTGGTTTATACAAATGGATTGAGAGCAGGGGAGAACAGGGAATATACTCAGCAATGAACAAAGAAGTCATCACCGTTTGTTAGAAGAATTGTGCTTAACCTACAATGAATCAATGCAATGTAATTTTCACACGGCTGCAATTTAGCCAGCTTCATTCTGATTCAAACGCAATTCTTTTAATAAACAGTAACAATTTCTCCAGTAAAATGTTTAAAATAGAGAGAAACAGTATAAGTCCAGCTTTTAAAAGAAAAATTCAATAAATAGCTATTTTACATGAATAAAGTCATAGTGGTACAAATTTATGAATGTCACATCAAGCATGCACAAAATGTTACTATACACAGAAGTAGTCAGAAAATATTGAAATAGATATCTAAAAAGATATGCAGAATGTACATATTTACATAATCTTGCAAATTATTGCCTCATTTTAACAAGGAATTAAAAGTAAACATTACCAGCTAGCTAGCCAATAGGCTAAATTAGATCAGCAATTAAAAATCTATTAAAACTAGCCGGAATTCATTGTTCTCATACCATTTTTAGAATTTTGGTCAAAAGTCTTTATTAAATAACTAAAGTGTCCATTTAACTTGCTGACAATCAAAATTTTAGACGAGAAACTAGACTGTCTCGGTCTTCATTAAGACCCCAGCAATGCATAGATAAACTGAACATAGTACTGCATCAGTTGATGAGAATGGGTGTGTTCATTTAAGTGCAACTGGTATAAGCATTCATACATTTTGTGTGATGATTTTTATACACACCAGCCACTGGAAAAACCCATAAACATGAATGTGTAACAAAAGGAAAAAAATACAGCGAGTATTTTACAAAATTAAATAAGATGTGTTGAATAAGAAAAAAAACCCACAAGATACAGCATTCAGCACAAATTACAGCAACAGGAAGCTGACAATTTGACTGAAAGTATTAGAATGTGACCCAAGGCCAAGGCTACCCATTTTTGTGTACTGCATTAGACTGACAAGTTTCAGGTGTATACTTTACAACAGATCACCATTAACAAATATACGTGGTAATTAAATTCCTAGAATGGTTAAAATGTGCTATTTGAGAAACTCAAAAACTTTTGATAGTGACTCCCAGCACTCTGCTGTTGCTCAAATTCAAGGTGCTAACAGTCTGTAGAAATATTTTATACAACAACACCAGCATACCCACACCTGTGAAAATCATGGGAAAAGACCAGAATACAACAACACCAGCATACCTACACCCGTGAAAATCTTCGTAGATTTTCACGGGTGTAGGTAGGGTGTTGTTGTATTCTGGTCTTTTCCCATGTAAGATTGAGATTGTCTTGGCAATGTCTCACTCGCTATCTTCAGCCCAAAACCCAGTCTGAAGATGGAGAGTGAGACCTCGCTGAAATGTTGCCAAGACAATCGCAATCTTACACGGGAAAAGACCAGAATACAACAAGACCAGCCTATGTGTGTGTCTGCGTGTCAGTGTAACATTGGCAAGTTTTATAATTGATAACCAAAGTTTTAGTGAACTTTCACAAATCCTTCAACACAGAACAATCTTGTCAAAGATTTCTCTCTGGAATATTAATGTACTGAAATCTGAATAATCCAGGAAGAAAACTACACTAATGGCTGAAAGTGATTCAAAGATCCATTGCACCATTCACCATCTATTAATCCAGAAATTTCATGCTATTTTGAACTGCCATGTTCTGAAGTAAAGACAAACCCCAATATGTAATTCATTAGTAGAGTGAGCAAATTGTATCATTCTTAGTAGCTTTAAGCAATGTTAAGATAATACTTGATGTTTTCAGATTCTATTTCTCAGAAGTATAGATATCCCCCACCCCAGCTCAAACACATCTTTTCAGCCAATACGTTAAAAAGTACACAAAACCTTTGGACAGTAAAAGCATTTTTGTGTAAGGTAGCTGTGGCCTGTGATGTTATAAGAGCATCTAAGCTTGTCCTCAGACTTTGCTCTTACTGTCTTTTGTGCTAGTATCCACCAAGATGAATCTGTTGTTTTGTAAACTGAAGTGCTCTGGCTTAATATCAGATGACACAAGCTTCAATTTAAAAATATCCTTGTGTAGTTGTGCAGTTTAAATTAAAGAAATGTCTCCCTGCTTTTGATTATTTTTTTTAAATGCTACATTAAGCAAGGATCAGAACTGGTACCTGTAAACAAATGTTATTCCACTGCATCCATTAGGGCAGAAGCAACCTAGAACAAAAACCCACTCTATTAAGTTCAGAACTTCTGTGCTGGTTTTGAGACAGCAGTCTCTCTACGGGTTTAAAAAGAAAGGAAGCAGAGCTTAAAGCTGTACCACATGGTTCTCTTAGTCCCGAACTCTGCTAGATATTATATGAAGTTTCCACATTTATGGATTGGAAAAAAAGTGAAATTATTCTTGATAAATCAAGATATAGTTCTGTACATAAAGACATCACTGATGTCATATAGTTCAAACTTCCAGTGAAAGACTAAGCAAACCTGATCAATTCATCAAGTTTACCACAAACTGCCAACAGTGTTCACTGTCTTTAATTTGCTGCTTGAATTCATTCTGAATGGAGGGCCGTGTGCTGGTGTAATGCATGGGCGCTGATAAAGCCATTTGTCTCATTTGCCGATAGACTGCTGAAGTCAGCTACCGAGACCGCCATTTTGGCACTAGTAATATGATGTGTATGATTCTCAAAATCAACAGCCAAGTTGTTCACCGAAACTTCATTCATGAAGGATTCTGGGACCGCAATTCCCATTTTCAATCTCTTGGCAGGCCTTTCCGATTCTTCACCGCACATGTTCATGGTGTTTAATTCAGAATGATAAAATCCAGTCTCAAATAAATTAAAACAATCACTTTCGCCATTACTAGGCAAGTTAAGCAAATCTTCTGTTACGACAGGCACATGATTAACTGCTGTTCGGGGCAAACTGTCCAGAGGTGGGAAGGCGTCTTCTGAGTTCACATCTGTAGAATGGCAGACTGTAGCTACGCTGTTGGTCAGTGCTAGAAGACAGAAAAAGATGTTATACAAGATGTAACCATTTCCCCGACCTATAGTCATACTAAGCTTTTCTAATTTACCTTTTAATTTACCTGTCAAATCATTGGCAGTGATTGAATTCAGGAGGCCTAGTTGTTGATCAGGAATGGGCTCTAGTCTATTATTTGATATTATGGCTGAAGAAACTGCACCACCTAAAGCTTCTGCTTCATCTACCAACCGATCCATGTAGTCCCTGCAAGAAAATGATCATAGAGAGGTTATTCAACAAAGTCCATTTGGAAAGCATAATGATGAACTACTATTAATTGTGGGAAATCCTAAATAAGATGTTAAGCACAAATGTTCTTCCAAAGTTTTTCAACTTACGTGACTCCAGGATGGTGGTTGTACCTCTTTTTTCCAAATCTTGTTTGTTGAGCAAAGTAATCATATCGTTCAGATTTCTTCCACATGTAATAAAATGCTACACATTCAGCAACTGTCCTGGTTCCCACCTAAAGACAGGGAAAAAAATAGCCTTAATATTTGTGGAAAATTCTTATGGGGAAGGAGTCCAAATGATAAAATACTTGGCAAATTGTTAATACTTGGAAAAGTATAAATTACTAGTTTGATTCCAGTATGATAGTTCTGCAAATATCTTATCAGCTGTTAGCATAGAAACAGAGAATGAGTTTACTACAGGTAGTCCTCAACCTATGACCATTTGTTCAGCAGCTGTTCAAAAGGACTTATAAAAGTGCAGCACACTCCTGATTTCATGTGCAGTACACATGGGCTTCCCCTATGTATCCCCATTCTCCTTACCTTAAATTCTACCAACTTAAGACCCACAAGGTCACTTAACAACTGCAACTAGAAGAGCCAAGGGAGTAGTCATGATGCATCACTTAATGACTGCTTGCTCAGGCACTGAGATTCTGCTCTGAATTGTGACCATAAATTGAAGACTACCTGTAACTTAAAATGGCAGTTTTCTCTCCATGTATTTTAAGTTTGTTACAGCATGTTCTAATACAGTCTTTATCTTCTTCCTTAACCTGATGTTTTAATGGCTAACAGTAGAAACTACTCTCTTCTAAATATGGATTCATTTTACTCTGGTATTCATACATTTAATCTACTCATAACACACTAAGTGGCAAAATCAGAACAATTACCATCTTATTTAATTGAATAAAGCTGTAATTGTCCCTGACTATAGGGTTCAAGAAATTCCTACAGAGTGGTTTGGTGGTATGCACATACAATACAGAATTTTACAGTGCACAAATTACTAATAAAATCTACGTTTAAAAAAGCTTGACAGATAATTGGAATTTTGTCCAAAGCACTTAATTCTTATAAAAGCAATGCTAAGTGAAGGTGGAAATCTAAATTTTTAAATAATTATTTTATCTCTTAAAAATACTTTTAATAAACTTCATAGTTTTAAATATGATTCATTGGATATCTTTATAGATTTGGTTAAATCTCAGACTTCCAGAATTTGAATCAGAACGTTTATTCAATATTTGGAACACAAGCAGTTATTAACAATGTAGTGCTTTCTTTTCTTGTTTATATGATGTTATATACTGGCCATTTGTGGACAAATGGTCAGGATATAATGTCATATAAAGAAGAAAAGAATGAAGATATCCAATGAACCATATTTAAAACTATGGAGACAGAGAGGGAGGGAGGGAGAGAAAGAGAGACAGAGAATGAATTTTTTTTATATAGATAACATGGGGGACAGCATCCAACTCCAAGAAACTCCACATTAGTAACTCCAGGAACACGAGCTCTGCCTCACCATGACCTGCAACTGGAACTGCTCATTTAGGTAGGAATGAAAGAGTACTTTTAATACCCAATTCTGGGAGACAATCCAGAGGAATACAATAGTCAAGGATTGAATGTTACCAGAATCTAACTGGATCAAGAAAACATGGAAATCCCCAAACCTCTGAAAACTCTTTGGATCCATTAGGAGCTTACATAGACAAATCTAATGGATCGACTGCTCTTGCAAATATAATGAATGTTTTTGGAGTTGGTCTATTTATAACATTAATTTTCAGGGTCCTTTTAAAATGGCTATATTTCAAATGATACACTATCCATAATATACTTTCATTTTGTTAATCAGTTCTGCATAATAAAATTATTTTCAAAAAGCCTCAAGTGATAATGTTTGTAGGAAACAGTAAAACATGCTTATGAGTATAGCAGCTAGGTAAAAATAGTTTAGAAAGAGGCATGCTCATTTACTAGATGGGTAATTCAATTAATTATATACTTCTAAATTATAATCTCTATAAAAATTGTAAATCCCTTATTTACTCACTTGTATCCCCTTCGTTTGCCCTTTTTCCTTCCCTGTTTATTTCTCTAATATGTCTACAGTAATACACTGTAATTTTTTTTAAAAAACCAAGTAACTGGTTGACAAAAATATGCCTTTTATGTTGTTTTACATATTCTGACCAACTACTCAAATGTTAACAACTTTATCATTTATAAATTATTTCTATACATGCTCACCTTATCTTTTTGTATAAGATGAAAATCTTTCCCATATATCAGAAGTGCATGTTCAAAGTTTCTACATTCTTCTTCTGTCCAAGCGGTCATATCTTAAGATGGAGATTAAAGAGAGAAACTAGTGAGCATTTGATATTTTGACAAATCAGCAAGCATTTGGTCTCAACATTTGAAAAATAAAGAAAATCTTTTCAACAAACTAGACTGGTTCATGCAGCAATCTAAACCAGAATGTGGTTTTACTTGATTTTTGCTTACCTTGTGCTTGGAAGGTACTATGGTTTGTAAGCTGTAGTTTATCTTGGGCTATAGTGTGAACTTAGCCAATAATAGTAAGCCATAAGCAGAAATGATATTCCATCAATTCAGTGGTGGATTTCAAATTTTTTTAGAACCTCTTCTGTAGGTGTGGCCTGCTTTGTGGTAGTGGCTTGCCAGCCATGTGACTGGGTGGGAGTGGCTTGCTGGCCATGTGACTGGGTGGGAGTGGCCAACTTGTAAAATGTGGTGAAACTCACTTAACAACGCTCTTGCTTAGCAACCAAAATGTAGGCTCAGAAACTCTGGCATTTGAAGCACGCAAGTCTTAAAGCTGTCAAGTTACAAGACCCTTGCACCCCTAACCCTTTAGAAAAAAAACCCCAGGGGTGTTCAAACTTGACAGCTTTAAGACTTGTGGACTTCAACTCCCAGAATTCCTCCTCTCGCTCTTCATCTTGGTGATGTGCGGACTGGTGGGGGGAGGGAATTGGAACCGGTTCTAAACGGCACTGTAGATTTGTGGAACCTCTTCTATAGAAGAGGTTAGAACTGGCAGGAACCCACACCTGCATCAATTGCAGCAGGAATTCAATAGGCAGGGAAAAACACTCACGGCTAATGATGAGGTCATGCATACATAACTATATATTTCATACAACTTCATTGTTTCAAGCATTCTTTCTTGTTATCTGACTAGTATTGCAACAATGATAAAGAATGGTGAATGTTTGTCTATAAAAGTGTAACCAGTGGTAAGATTCAACCGGTGTAACAACTGGTTTGCTGAGTGTGTGCTTTGCGCACACATGCTTCACACGCGCCCAGTGCGTTTGAAAACAGCTCAAAAACTTACCCTTTACTGCAGCCCCAGTGAGTAAAACAGCTGAGGCTCGGCAATCCGCTCTGCCACGCCTATCAGCTGGGTTTCAAACAAAGGAAATGTAGGATAGACTAGTGCAGGGGCAGGTGAGCAGGGTCAACTGATTGCCGGAACTACCGGTTCGCCTGAACCGGTCCGTACCAGCTGAATCCCAACCCTGAGTGTAACTGATTCTAGTTACTGATCAGAACTTTAACCTTATGTAACAGAATCTTCCAAGAGACTAGATGCCTTCTTTAGTTATCTAAGTATGTGGAATAGTCCAGCTGTTACTCTTGAATCACTCTGATTACTTTGCTGCAATTTGTTTTGGTATTACAAAAACATGAGGAACTGTATTGAATAACAGTCATCACAATCCAGGTCTGCACTTTTATGATTTAACATTATTGAACGTATAAACCTCTTGATAGAGGACTTACCCTGTGATGTCTTTCCATTTGAACAGTATTTCTCAATGGCTTCCTTTAGATTGTGGTTACACTTGAAGAGTTCATAGAGTGCCTAGTAGAGATTGCAATATTTCTTGTTTAACCAGTCAAAAGGAGCGTACACAATCCAGCAGCTGTAATCTCATGTCAGCCAAATGTTTCTATTACAAGGTTATCTAGCCACTTCAAATAAAACATTGTGCAGTGTAAATAGATACTAACTAAGTTGGATCAAAACCTCTTCCGACCATTAAATGCTGCTGATCCAGCAGAAAGATCTTAGTGGTAAAAGACTATGGAAGGAGCTTAGTGAACACTACTTTCTACACTGTTTTGGAGCTTCCTTCAATTCTCCAGAACAGACTGCCAGAGATCACTAAGAGAAGGTAAAATGGCAAAGTCTTCCTCCTGCAATCAATGAGATGAACCTCCCATGTAAATGGAGTGACCAGGGTACGAGGGGCGAGAGATGCCCCATAGGTAAAAGATAAATCAATGAATATAGTTTCCCCTTCATCCCTCTTCTGGGCAGAATCTCCTTGTATCTCCATTGTTTCAAAACAACAGCAGCAATAGCAAAGCACTTAGACTTATATATCGCTTCATAGTGCTTTATAGCACTCTCTAAGCCGTTTACAGCATATTCCCCCAGCAATCTGGGACCTCATCTGGGCAGCAAAAATGAACTAAATCCTTCTATAAATAAAGTAAATTTATCCTTTTATATACATTGTTTATGGACAAATGTTTTAAAGCCAAAGAATAAGATGTGATATACAGTAGGTATGAAATATATTAACTTAAAAAAATAGAAAAAAAAGGAAACATATTTGTTTTTGCATGCCTAAGCATAAAAAAAGAGAGTTCAATTGGCAAATTGTACAGAGATAAGATTAAAACATACCTGTTCATTGTCCCGGGTATGCACTCCATCAGGAATTCTGCCAATTATTTTTTCATTTCCAGTTCTTACAGAAGTTTCAAAAAGGTACTCTTTAACTTTATTTTCTGAAATAACATCAGGTTGCCAAAGTAGCTGGTCCTCATTTTCATATGCTATTAAGATATATTCAAATATTGATGAGACCAAGTGCCCAGTAATCCAGCAACCCCCAGCAATTCTTTGCACATATTACTGAAGAGTAATATATGCAAAGAAATATACAATTTATATCATTTATAACATTTTATGGCCTACACTCTGGCATGATAAAGATCCAGTTGTGATTTTCCTCTAGGGGTATTTGTTGTCATATCTCTTCAATGTCTTTAAGGATACACACACTTGTTTTCTAAGGAGCTATATTATTATACAGATAGTCCTTGACTTATGACCACAATGGAGCCTAAAATTTCTGTTGTTAAGCGAGACATTAGTTAAGCGAATTTTGCCCCAATTTATGACCTTTCTTGGCACAGTTGTTAAGTGAATCACTACAGTTGATAAGTTAGTAACCCGGTTGTTAACTAAACCTGGCTTCCCTATTGACTTTGCTCGTCAGAGATTCGCAAAAGGTGTTCACAAGACCTTGGGACACTGCAATAGTCATAAATATGAACCATTGGCCAATCATCTGAATTTTGACCACATGATCATGGGGATGCTCTAAAGGTCATAACTTTCAGTCATAACTCACATTTTCAGTGCTGCTGTAACTTTGAACAGTCACTAAAGGAACCATAAGTCAACTGTAAGTCAAGAATTACCTGTACTCCTGCTATTTAGTATATATGTTACCACAAACTATTAAGATTTGTTTTTCAGAAATATCAACTGTAGCATCTTTAAAATTTAAAGTAAGATAATATGGTTAATAACATATTAAAAACATCATTTTAAAAAATAACTATACAGTTTTTAATGCAAATGTTTAAGCATCTCATATTGTTGAAATCTGCATCTTTTTTTTCTCTTACAGACTTTCTACTGTCAACTTAATACCGTGTTTCCCCGAAAATAAGACAGTGTCTTATTTTCTTTTGATCCCCGAAATAAGCATTTGGTCTTATTTTTGGGGAGGTCTTATTATTTTTGAGTGCAGGAGACAATGAGCGTGGTCACCTCATGGCTGTTGCTGTGTTGCAATATTTTCAGAGAGGGCTTATTTCTGAGGGAGGGCTTATTTTAGCACATGCGCTCAAAAGCCCAATTGAACTTATTATTCAGGGAGGTCTTATTTTCAGGAAAACATGGTATTAGATTATTATAATGAATAATTACCAACTATTTAAGTTGACAGTAGAAAGTCTGCCACAAGATTATCTAAAATAAGAGAACAATGTAAGCACGAACAATTGATTATATAGGAAGAAAAATTTGATGCAATTATTTTCTATGCAATTCACCCCCTTGTTTCCTCCCCAGCTCTGCAGCAGCAACTTCCTGCTGTCTTCCCCACTGACTTTGGTTGTTGAAAGCCAGCAGAAAGCTGAGAGGAGAAGCTTGCTTAATGTTCGACAATTCTAATTTAACAACAGCAATAGGGATTGCAGATATTGTCATTGCTAAGGGATGCAGCCATGTGACATCATGCTTTATGACTGCATCCCTTAGCAACAGAAATTCCAATCTCAAATGCCATTGTAATTTGAGGACTGCCTGTAGTCCAATGTATGTGAAAGACAACTGTTAGGGTGTGATTGAAATGCTAATATTTAATCTATGAACAGTCCAGAAAGCCTCGGATTTTAATCATCTCCAAATACCATTAACAGTTAGCTAAATAAATGGAATTATAATTGCTGCCTTTTTATTGATAAGAATGTTCAGTCTTATAAAGAAGAGCTTTAGTCTCATTTATAGTATAGCAATAGCACTTAGACTTATATACCGCTTCACAGTGCTTTACAGCCCTCTCTAAACGGTTTACAGAGTCAGCATGTATTTTGCATATTTATCTAATATTTTAAATTGTGTACTCCCCTATATTCCCATTCATCAGATAGAGGTCAAGGAGAGCATGAAATGGGACCTGTGACTGACTAAAGATGTTAAAGTAGTAATCATGTCTGAATAAATTAAAATTTCAATTAGCAGATCCCAGATGCAGCAAACTGCATTTCTACCCAGATAACTCCTGAAATGGGATGTACAAGTCTATTGCATCTGTAGTAATCCAGACACAGCAGTTAAATTTATCTTAATTTACCACATTTATGGTGATTTATAACTTGTATGTAATAAGATTACACACGATATAAATTAATATCTCATTTGCAACATCTATGTAATCACACCATTATATAGATGACAAACACAATCATATCCTTTCACATTTAATAGATACTTGGAAGTAACAGATACCCCTCTCCTCAACAGGCCTGTTAAAATGTGGTCACTGTAATTCTTAGCAATTTTTGAATATGTATAGTACTCTGTAGCATACTTCATTTAAACACTCAAAAACAATTCATAAATTAAGTTCAAGATAACTCAACCAAATATTCCATGTCTCACGATCTTGAACTCAAATCTGTTTATGTTTTAATTTTTATTTTAATTAATAATATATTTTAAACAATTATTTTAAAAGCTAACAATTTAGTAAAAAGTATTAATTACCTTTTTCATCATTGCAACTTTTGCCTAAGAAAGGTGGTATTTCAGCCTGGTATTGTGAACCAATCATTATTTCCTGAAAAAAAATAGAATGTGGTACTGTAAACATACATATCTCATTATGATGATATATATTTGTGAACCAAAAAGATCAGGATTCAAATACTGTTTTTTTTCTCAAGATCCATACCCATAAATATTTCCAGGCTCATACTGGGATCACAACAAAATTCTCCTTTAGCAACAATACACTCAGGCAGATCTCATACTCTTTAGGTTACAGTTGAAATGGGGAAGTAAAACACTTTCAAAGGCAAATACAATTTGGGAGACTTTGAGACCTGCAATAAATGTAATTCTACAACATACATGTTGATATCAGACTTTACATACTTTAAGTCTATAGAACACATACAAAAAATTATATATTACTATAAATCATTTTAAGAATTACCTTTCGCAAATCTTCAGATGAATTACCGGTATCTACTTCCACATCTTCACCATCAGATTCTTTATCACCATCACAGATAGTGTTTGCTTTTTACAATAGAAAAGGAGTGTTAACAGACAACTATTTTAATATTTTTAATGTAATACTGAAATAAAACATCTCTATCAAATCACGTCCAACTTCTGTACATGTTCCGATGTTCAATGCTAAGTTCTTTATTTCATAGCTACATTTTTGTATCATTCCAATCAGATGACTGTGAATGATGGAAACACAGAAGAGGCCCTTGTCTGAGCTCAAAACATCTGTTTATGTCTCTACACACTTCCAAAATTGCTTTAAAAGCATCAAAATACTTTCAGGGTAGTGAGAACCCTTTTGGAAAAGGAAACATTTTGCAAACCCCTAATTCCTACACCATAGAATTATACATTTGACTGTAAGCAAAATTGCAAGCCCTGTCCTTCCCAACCTTATATATGCTTTAGCAAATCAATACCTAAAAAATCCAGAGTAAAATAACTAATAACAAATATTCATTCCACTTACATTTCTATCTATCAAGTTATAGGGTCACCTAACTTGCAGAAATGTAACTCTAGGCAGTTCACAATGGTAGAAACAAAATCACAGCATTCCAATCACAAATTACTTGGGGCATACCAACATGCACTCCACCTATCAGAATGAATTCATGTAATATCCTAGCCCTAACATTCTGGCTAAACAATACTTTTAATAGCAATCTTACATTTCTAAATTACATTTACTTTACAGTTTCATCACATTCTCTAAGATTTGTTTCTTTCCAGGTACAATTGCTTACTTTTGTCAAAGTCTGGATGTGCAGAACCAAGTGAGATGAGACAATGTGATCTGGGATTGTACAACCCAAATAAGTGATTAATGTACCCAGAGATAAGCTGTGATGCTGCCTATTCTTAAGGAATATATTAGCCATATTAGCCATATTGGACGTCTAGCTACGTCCAATATTTCTTAGGAAATGATGTTGAGAACATGGTATGGACTGTTAGAGAAGATCCTAAAGAAAGCTCTTGTCTAGCTCTTTTAAACAGGATTCAAGCTCAGTCAGAGATTAGAAATAGCATTGACTGCTTTGTTGGTTGGCTTTCATCAAGACTGGTAGGGGAAATGCAGACCTACTGGCTGCATTCAATAGTGCCAAGCTTGGTATCTGAGATTTGAAACTAATTCCACTTCTGAGTGGGCAATTCTAGTCAGTAGTCTTGAGACAAAGCAACTATAGTTCCTGAATGTGGAATATCAGACCTCAATTGTCACCTCATATGTTGTTTAATATCCATATGAAATCATCAGAATAGATCCTTTTTTGCTTTAAGATGAGGTGTCATTAATATGCTGTTAATACCCAAATTATATACTGTCAATCCAGGTCATGTAAAAGATGATCTGGATGTTTTGAATCAGAATATGGAGACTGCAATACTGTAATAATTGGAATACTGCATTCAGTTTTGGTCGCCACGATGTAGAAAAGATGCGGAGACTCTAGAAAGAGTGCAGTGAAGAGCAACAAAGATGATTAGGGGACTGGACACTAAAACATATGAAGAACAGTTGCAGGAACTGGGTATGTCTAGTTTAATGAAAAGAAGAACTAGGGGAGAAATGATAGCAATGTTCCAATATCTCAGGGGTTGCCACAAAGAAGAGGGAGTCAAACTATTCTCCAAGACACCTGAGGGTAGAACAAGAAGCAATGGGTAGAAAATAATCAAGGAG